GTGGGCTTTTTTGTTGTTGTTGTTTTTTTTTTCAAACGGTGCGGTTAAATAGAGAAGTGCGTCGAGCATTACGCGGGAATGCTCACCGGTGCCGAGGCAAACTCGATGTAGCATGCCATCATCCTGCCATTTCACGAGCGTGCTTGTACTTTACTGCCAACTCAATAGATCCAGATGTAGGACAAGCCCGCCTTTAAACGGTCTTTAACAATTGTTTGGCTTTGCGCTTTACGCGCCTATTTTGGCGCAAGGCGAGGCTGTTGGAACTTTGGGAAATGTGACGCACGTGCAGTTTTCGCCGCGTGGGTTTTTTTCAGAGTAAAGTTAACATTATTATGCAGCGAAAACACCTCCTGGGTGACAGTGCGAGAGCCGGTCTGCAGCGCTGCCGCGTGTAGGTTAGGTGATTGTGATCACATTCGAGGTGCAAATGGATGAGTTTTCAAGCAATGCCATTGGTCAACATATCAGTTTGTTATTTCTCGCTCAGGTTTCTTTGGCAGTGCAGAATGTAAACACTACATATGGGATGCATAATTCAGTATTTTGAATTTCTCATTTGCATGAACATAGAATGGGTCATCAAAAATACTCTTGTGTGCAATCCTAGAATAAGTTTACAGAATCTTTTAACATTCATATTGTGTATTATTTCACGTGTGTTATTTTGGTTTAAAGCTTTCGTGACGGTAGGGATTCATATTCTTGGTTCTTTCGGTAAAGTCACGTAGAAGGGAAACAATTAAATAATAAAAATATGGAACAGTAAAATGCTCACAACATTTTCGACTGCAACACAAGCAATCATCATCAGGTGTTTCCCTTCTACGTGACTTTACCGAAAGAACCAAGAATATGTGTGTTATTGTTTTTTTTTATTGCTGTGCATTTCGCATTAAACAGTTAATGTCATAAACCATACTGGGATTAGATATTACATTTTAATTTATGGTCCATCCTGCTGTTACATCAACCAGAATACAAGAGTATTAATAACAAAACTTTTTTTTAATTGTAAATAATTTGCCATTAATAAAATGTAATGTCTTAATTCATTTTGTCAAGACTAACAGTGGTCAGAGTTTAACAACACGGTTATGGCTCAGCTCCTCGTACAAGTGACATTTGCAATTGTATGATCACAACGCATGAATTCAAAGATGATTTAATATTCTCGAAGCTCATGGATACATGCACCGAGCCCATGTATGTAGGATTCGATGGTTTTTTTTTATCGTAAATGTTGGTTGTATTCCTCTATGTATGTAGGGATGTTGAACTTCTTTCACACCGTTCGTAGCCAACCGTGCGAGCCACAAGAGGCCGCTATGTTCACCGCCATTGTAAGCATCTATATCTATTATTGATACAAATGCTGATCCTCGAATGATTAATTTCATAACTTGAGGAGAAGGGATATTTACACCCCAAATAATAATACAGAGGAAAGTTTGATATCAATAGTTTTTTTCATTAGCACTAGATTTTTCATGCGTTTTAAGTGTTCAACAATAAACTTAAAGCTGAGCTGGCTTTGTGATTGAAACTAATCAATCTTCACGCTTGAAATATTTGGCACCCAAATTATGAAGTTATTTTTTTTGCATTTGTATTGTTATAAGCAATGCACCTTCTAGTTGTGCTTAATTCAAGCTCTCCTAATCCTTCTGGAACTTCACTATAATCTACACAAGTCACTCATTCACTCGGCTCACGATTATCTATGTGAATATGATATGGTGTGCGACTGGGCAGCACACTGCCAAACCTGAACGTGGTTTAATCGCGTTATTCTCCGGTCCATTCCAATGGACTGCTGGTTTTCAAGGGAAGCCTTTTGTGTATAAATCAGCCGGAACTGTGCCTTTAATTGGCGTGCAGTCTGGAGTCTCCCTGGGAGTGTGGGAGAGGGAGAGGGGATGTTCGCCTCCATGCTTTGAAACCCAATCTCACCTGGTGCCTGCATGCGTGGCACATCGTCACGGAGAGAACGCCGTCACACGTGACAGCCAAGTCATTTGTCGCACCGAAGGCGACAGTCGGAACGTATTGATAGCTTTCCCTTGTACTCATAAACTCCCCCATGCACCAGTGTAGTGCATTGAACTGTGTACCTCTATACATAGTCATGATGCTAGTAGTACCAAATCATCAGCTTTTGTCTTTGTGAATATTTAGGTTATAACTATGACAAAATATAAATATTGATAGATCGCATATGTGCATGTACAGTGTAGCCCTTTGTCAATCCTCTGCTAGATGAAGAGCTCCCTATGAGGGTTGTTTGACCATACTTTACCATGCTGATCAGTACAGCTATCACTCGCCATTAATGTTAGCAAGTGACCAGGAATTGAACTTGTTGCCGAGTAAAATAGCGCAGTGCGCCACCACTCCACTCTAGATCACAGTAACTTACATCCGATATATATTATGGTAATTGACCGCCCGATGTAATTTATACTTATGTTCAAGAAGAGCTGAAAAGCTGAAATCTTGCACAAATGTAGTTGATTTTATGGTTTTACCTATAGCAATCCTAAAGCCAAAATTGGGTCCTCAAATAACAATGTCTGGACATTGATTGGTTTCACTGTTAAAGCGTGCTCAGCATAACGTTTGAAATAGCTTTAAGTCTTGAGTCGAACATATATGATCCCCATTACAGTGAAAAGAGTAATTTCCCTCCTGTGGAATGTGACGCTAAATAGAAAGAGAGCACAGCTCATTCCCTTCTACTTGTGTGCCTTACAATGTTAATCGAAAAATACAACACAAGAGGAAGAGCCTTGCGTTGTTGAAACAGTATAATGAAAATAATATACAACCCTTTACCAGTACACTGCTGAATGAAGGCCTTACTTATGGCACGTCGGTCATTGGGGGGTTGTTTGGCCATACTTCACCACTGCTCAGCGGCGTTTGGCTATCCATCGAACAAAGACGGTCACCGCATCACGCGCTTTCAGATGTGCTCCTGCGGCCGTCTGGAACGCTCTTCCCTCCGATATTAGGAACCCACTGGAGCTATGTGCTTGTAAATCTTGATTGAAAACCAAATTTCTTTAGAACTGCTGTTTGTACTTAGTTCGTTGTCCTTCCCCTGCACCGCCGATTGGTATGGTTGGCTACATAGGGTGCGAAAGAAGTTAATCATACATGCTCTGTGCTGAGAGTCGCTTTGGTTCATAGCGCAGTGCGCTGATCACTTCACCACCACTCCACACCTTGAGCTGCTCGCAAGTATAACGCTGTGTTTGTCCTTGCACCTGACTCCTGGATACATATGGGAAGAGCGAGTTCGCTGATGAAATGCACACCGCCGTAAATCAGCGAGAGCATTTTAACAATTTAAGTGCATGCCTGTGGCAGGGCCTTTATTGTACCCAAAGTGTCGGGAAAAATGAATACGTGCGGTTTTGATTTCACAAAGCAGCCATTGCTCTCGCAGTATAAAAACCGCCTTCTATTGTGGGTTTGTTTTATTGTCTAGCTTGCTAATCCTTTCATTTTCTGCCAAACTAGATTACGGGAGTGCTCTGCCCAGGAAGGGAAAAAAATATTCTCATAGATTCGGGGGGAGGTGCTTGCTTTGAGTTTTGGAAACTACAAATTAAGAATGCCTTTCTCAGATCTGCATGAAAGCCCCCCCCCCACCCACAACGTCAATAACAACATAGTGTCAAAATGGGCCTCCACCAAACCAATTCCATGACCAGGCAATGGGTGAACATCAAAGCTATGTAAATACTTGGACGTTGACCCTTGAAGTCACCCCGAACAGAAGATGTTTACCGCTGGAAGGCTTGTTTTCTCCCAGCAGAGTCACGATTATGCACGTGAAGACCTTTTCCCTCCACCCACCCCGTCGCCCCCCCCCCCCTTCTCCCTTTAACGTTCTGTAGCTTATTACATTTATTAAGACCATATTGTAAAGAGTCCAATGAAATTCTCTGCCTCACACAAGTTGCATTGTTCCCATGACGGTGCTTCCCTCTCTGCACAAGCGCGGCTTAAACGAGGTTACCTTCTGGCGCATCTACAGAGATTTTTGTGGAGTCTGTATTTCGAGGCCGATGATGAGAATGTAGTGTTAACCCCTTGTCAGCGCGCAGCGCAGCAAGAAATGGAATGAGGTGTGAGTATTTGTTTTTCTTGACAGCAAGTGTGTGTGACCCACAGCTAGGCATTACCCGACTGGCTGCCGCCTCCTGCCCAGACCAGAATAACATGTCAAAGCCAGCCCAAAAATGTATTTCCATATTTACTGAAAGGATTTTAACTCGGAATATTTTTTGCAGACGAAACTAAATAAAGTGGAATTTGTGAAGTGTGTAAAATTATGTTTTGTTGCCTTTATTTTTATAAGTAAATGTACGTTGATATTTTTTATACCTTCAGTGCTTATTCAAACAAAATTCAACATCAAGCATATTTTCGGTGTTTATTTTTTGACAATTTACACACACGCACACGCGCGCGTGCACTGGGCCGGGAGTTTCTTTTTGTGCGCGAAGAAAAATCTGACATCTGCATCCATTTTTGTGCCATTAGCAAGCGAAAACAGCAGCACGTTAGCCCCCCTAATAACTTCCTCGCGCCCTTCGCTTTAGCCGCAGGAAGAGTTTTTGGGAGCCATTTGGGGGCCTGCGCCGATCGAGGTGCCCGCCTGTGTCCCGTGCGCAGGTGACGCGCGTTCTCCGCATGTGACGGCTCTTAATCCAGCGGCAGCCTGCGCGAGCTGCTTTCTTGCGAAATTTTTTTTTTTCATGTTTAAGCCAGTCCGGTCGGCCCGGTGTTTGCCACTCCACCAGAACGCGTACGAAAAATAGCCGTGAAAAATTATCGCCCGGGCCGCGCCCGCGCCCGCGCTCGCGTGTCAGCGGCGCCAGGCCCGAGTTCTCCTAGGGGGATTTTTGTTTTGTTTTGTGTCAGTCCCTGACGGTGCCGCCTTCTTGTCCCCCACCCCACCCCCACTGTGTCTTCGCGTTGTTTTGCAGCGGGAGGAAGCTTTACGACCGCTTCGGGGATATACCCTCCGAGCAATTCCATCACAAGTTCGGCAGGATTCGGCAGCTCTCAGCAGGTACCCCGTAGTCACGCTGGCGGTATCTGCCGAAGCTATCTTTCTGGCACTTTCAAACGAGACTCCGTGTCCATTTCCTTGGTGATGGCGGCCGAGTGTGTTTGGACTCTGTGTGTGCCGCACGTTTGGCTGACGATGCTGGCTAGGCGGGTGGGGCCGTCCGTGCGGGTGTGCGGGCTCTCGCTTCGCTGCGGGTTCGCCGCTAACGCCGTGACGTCCGACTGCGAGGTTGTTGATCGTACGTGAGAGTCGTCACTCAGCGTAGCGAAGCTCTCGGTCGGTCGGCTGCCGCTGATACCAGGAGTTGTGAGGTATGGCTAGGGCGGCATGGCGGGGCCGGTTCTCTCTACTTCGAGCCGGCCTGTGGTCGACTCTGAGGCCTGATCTCGGCTGCCCCCCCCCCCCCCCACACACCCCCACCGATGTCGCGTGATAGCGAGCTGTGGCAACATTGAATCAGCGCCTATTTGCTTCGGGGACTTCCCACCTGAGAAAATAGGGCCTTGAAACCCCAGTAACACTTGCAATAGGAGAAAACTTGCGTCTCAATGTCGTCACCAAGTATACAACCTTGAATGTTACGTACTTAAACATACAGGACACAGTGATTCCTTTAAGTTTAGTGCAAAACGTCTAAATTTAGCCATACTCTGAGCCCATTTGGTAACATACTGCTGTATATTATAATATGTATGTGTGCAATGTAACTACTGTGCATATTAATATACTCAATTTGATAATGCTAACTTTTGCTTCGGTTTTTTTCACTTGCTGATTAAAAACATTTTAACCTTGATGGCCGCCAACTAAGATGCTGTTCCATGTTTACAGCGTGGTCCTGGTGATGGGCTTATCGTGGAGTCACGAGCCAAAATAGATACGGGGGTGGGGGGGGGGTGACAGCTCGCGTACAAGACGCGTTACGTAAAGAGGGCATATGATAAGTGGCGCGCCGAGGTAAAATGATAAATTCGGGACATTCGTCGATGCCAATGGAAATTTGGTTTCGCTTGCGGTGGATGCACGTGCGCATGCACAATACTGTACGCGGTGTACGCATCGCCAGCGGGCCCTTCTCGGGGCATAACGTGTCCGCGTCTCCCCAATGTTGTGGATTGCTCACTTGGCTTCGCGGCTAAAGGATTAAGCAGAACATGTTCGCGCTGAACGTACATTTTTTGCAGGGAAGCTAAAATAGGTGACGGGGAAAAAAAGGTATACATCCTGATATTTTGACCGGCTTTGGTTTTCTTCAAGGAAGGCCATTTGGCCAACATACTGAGGTACTCCTTTACAATTGATTATAAGTACCCTGTTATAATTTTTTAATGACCTTTTTATTGTATGCTCTATTTAAGGCCGGGAGCAAGTGGAGGGCTTCACAATTCTGGCAAATAGCCCGATGATGCTGGATGTAATTACCAGCGATACGTCGTACTCAAAATTTTAAATGATGTTTATTCACTCTTCAACACACCCGGTGGGCTGAAGTAGTGCATTTTTTTGTCGTTTGTAAACATGACACTTTTTTTACTGTTTGGCCATGTCGGGTGGTGGAGGGTTACAACACATAACGTGATCTAACCCAAAAAACCTCTATTATGAATGTATGTATAATATAGCAATTTGATCAGTTAATTTTAATATTATACAGTATCTTTATAAACCTCCCGCAGGTCGTGTATAGGTGAAAATCAACATGGCGTTTATTGGTTTGAAAAGGGTATTAGAGTGCGTTATTTCTCAGTCTTGCTCTATTTGATCAGATCAAACAATCACTGCAAGTGCTCTGTCCAGATTATAGTGGAAGGTGTTTCAAATTAAACCATACATTAAATTACAGAATGTGGATTCCCTGGAGCATCATGTCCATCAAGTCTCTGTTACCTGCCCCTCCTTCCTGTGATGCACACAACACACGAAACGTGGACGACCTTAAATTCAGTATGATTTGAATCGGAAATGCTTGGTGGCGGTAGTGGTTAGCGCACTGCACTCTAAACCCCGTCATCCTGAGTTAGATTTTTTTGGCCACAGCCAACATCAGTGGCGAGTGATGTCTCAAAGTATTTTTCAAATTTCAAACACTCAGCATGATAGGCGTAATGATCCCCGCCCCCCTGCCACCACCCCAATTTATTAAATTAATTGTCATGGTTCAAGGTCACAGTTTGATAAAGAATTGATATTTTTTTGCCAGTGGAATGAATGTAGTGGTCACAAATGGATGCAAGGATAATGTGAACTCATTGTATACAACATGGAATGGGTTTATTGCATCGGAAAACTGATCGTAACACACCTGATTCGATGCATGTAGCTTGACAGTAAGAAATTATTCCCTGATGCGTCAATTACATCTCGTAAGCATTGATGAGTAATTCATTCTCGATGGCTTTTAGCTCAATTATCAGGTGCAAGTAAATGGTGGCATTGCTGTTTAATTACAGATCATTCATAAAGTTGTTTTTAGAAAGTCGCCATGATTTTGACCTGGGGTCGATTGCAGTTGCTTGACGGGTAATTAATTGCATGACAATGAAATTGTAATTGCAGCTAACAGCGCTGCTGTAGACCCATAGGGTCTGCCGCTATTGCCTCTTAACATCTATCGCCCAGAATAAACACATAATTAGAGACCCAAACATCGCACCTCCTGGCTGGGACATTCCTTCAAAGACACTGTTGGTGTAACCAACCGCATGAGAACATCAACAGGCCGATGCATAGCCCCTTCACAAATGGAACGTTTAAGACAAACCACAGTGCGACTGTCGCCGTACAACTAAATCCATAAACCATGTAGTAAACCACTAGCTCTGTGATCTTTGTATGGAGGAGGAATAGCAAAACTGCACACCCTCTCACGATTAGCAGACCTTGACATTGGCGTTGACCTCCTGAACATATTGCCATCGCGCAAAAAAAATTTTTTTTTTACGTATGTTTAACTTTTTTCGCACCGTACGTAGCCAACCGTGCTCATCGGAGGTGTAGGGGGAAGTACAACAAACTAAACGCAAAAACTGTAACGCCTTCGCCCAACGTGCAATGTCGCGCATCGCCAACTCGTCCCCGCCGTGTGTGCCGCGCCGCAACTGCAGGAGTACTCGTCATACGCCGGCTTCCCGCAGGGGCAGTACGCCGTCGGGCAGTACTACCCGAGCGCCGCCTACGGCACCTACATGGCCAACAGCAGCAGCAGCCCGTCCACCCCGCCCGCCACGGCTGCCACCTACACCCTGCAGGAGCCGGCGCCTATCACGACCAGCCAGGCCGGTACGACATCGCCACCCGACCCCCCCCGCACTGCCCCTCCGCCGCCCCCCCTGATTGGCCATACTTCACCGTGCTGGTCAGTTCAGGTTGGCGCAGAGGAAGACCCGGGACCGGTTCACGCCTCGCTCGCCACCGACATTATCCGTGGGCGGGGTAACCCTCGTTTATCGCTCCTCCTTATCGCTAATCTCCCCTGACCCGCCGCCCTTATAGCCCGAAGGCAAAACCACGTCCCTCCTTTTCCTCTCGCTGGTCACATTACATTGGTGAGGCTCCCGCCGTGCTGCGGCTGCGCGGTGGCCGAGGAATTCCAGTGCATGCCGTGACGGGTTGTCTCCGGGCACTTCCGGCTTCCTCCCAGGGTGGAGACAAAAAAGAATACATTCGTGGAACTGGCCAAACATTCCCAGTGCACAGTACCCTCCTGGGATAAACGCAGGGCGTTATTATCATAATTATAATAAAGTGCACATCTTGCAGCTTATTTTAGTGTCTACGGTGCTTGCTTATGGAACAGCCTGCCACGGGATCTGAGGGCTTCAGAATCATTAAGCACTTTTTAAAAGAAATAAATAAACCAACACTTTTTTAAAATTAATGTGTTATTTTTATTACGTCTTTGTTAGAAATTTGTTACAACGTGATTTTTTTTTTTTGCCTACAATTTCACTTTTACTGTTCGTGCCTGTAGAGCACAACGTATTGCATTTTTTTTTTTGCACGAATAGTGCTGTAGAAATAAAAGTTTGATTTGGGTCTGGCGAGAGAGGGCGGTGGTTGCATCGAGACCAGGGGGGTCGGCAACCTGTGACTCCAGAGCCGCATGCGGCTCTTTAAGCGCCGCCTCGTGACGTAATTTATTAAGGACCACCGTCTCTCGTGTTCACGTGCATTGCTTTATTGTTATTTTGGTAGCCGAGCCCTATTCCCAATTGTGTTTGGGCCACGTTGTGCGCTCCCCCCCCCCCCGCCCGCCGAGTCAGTGCTGCCGTATGCACGCCCTGTCCCTCGCCTTGTCTTGAATAGAGAGGGGTTTGTCAACTGCGCAGTCGCTATACACAACGTGTCCTGACGAACAATAGCAGCAAAGATAAATATATATACAGCTCCGCTCCATTAATAACTGGCCGAGCGAAGGGCTGTCGAATCGTCCAGGCTCACTGGAGACTCGCAATTTGAGATGGACAGATTTGAACGAGTTGGTGCAGGACGGCATAAGTGAAGAACGGTTACAGGAATTGTATATAAGCAGAGAGAAGCCAGTAAAACTGTTAATTAAAAAAATATATATATGGGGTGATGATGCGACCAGTGCTGTTATATGTACGTGTGTGTGTGTGTGTGACCATTGTTTATATGCTGCAGTGACTTCGGCACTGAGGTAACAAAGAAGTGAGATGAGTGCTTGAAATGGCAGAGATGGATGTTAAGAAATGAGGTGGAACGTGAAACAATTGGCGCCTTGGCAGGGGTTACGGATAGTGTTGAGTAGGTAAGGGAGACGAGACTTGGACAGTTTGGGATTGCGTTGAGAAGAGGCAGAAGATGATGCAATTAGTAGAAAGGCATTGGAGATACTGCCGGTGCAGATGGGAGCGGAGGGAGATCGAGGGTTGGGTAGATGCGGGGGACCGAGGTTTGAGGGGGGGGACGGTGGACGCGACGAAGAGAAGAAGCACAGAATAGAAGCTCAATGAGAGACACAATCCGAGCAGCTGACCCCGCATATTAATGGGACTTCTGGCTGAGAAGAAGGGGAATAATGAGGAGCGCACGCTCGTAATGAGGGGGGTGGCCTGTGTTGTGTCCGCCGTGCAGCACATGCGAGTTGTGTTTTCGCCTCGAGGGAAGTGAGCACTATTTTAGAACGTTTCTTTACTCGCCGTCATTTTGCTTAAGCTTCATGTAATGCCTGTTGACCGTGCATTCAAAGTTCGGTCGCCACACGATAACTATGAATTCCTGTTGCACATTTACAATGAGCGTTTCAAATTGACAAGAAATCGGGCAAGGTTCTGTGAAACACGGAACAGGTGTTAATCCTACAGGGGACCGTCATTTGTCAGGTTCAAGTGCGACCTGCAGGTTTTGACCTTGTATTCCTCGTGAAAATGTAGTCCGGTTTGGCTGGTGTGTCGAGCCACAATTACCAGTTTATTTGATTGCGGAGGAGTCGGGCGCTGGGCCGTGTTGGTACAATTTACACGCTCCTCTCTGTGGCAGGGTGCGCACTGATATTAAGTCAAGCTAAATTTAAATTATTGGAACTTCTGTCTCCACTGCTTTCATTTTCAGAGTTTCCCGACTGATTCATACTAATTTAATGTTTTGTTTCTCCATCGACGTGGTATTCCGACCCTGCATAATATTGTTACTGGCTTTCTCTTTTATAACCCATATCTTTCTTAAATAAAATATATGTTTAGTCTCATCAAACTCTCATTTTGTATTCAAATTAAGTGTTGGTGATGGTGTAGCAAAGTATTCATCATTCACATATCTTAGCGTTCCAATGTGTGTAAATGGTTGCTCTGACCATTGGCGTACGGACTGGTTCGAGAGAGGGTCACAAGGCACGTTTCTGTGCCTGTGTGCAGATATTTAAAGTTCCACAACATTCTCCACAAGATTAAGAAGTTTTGAGCCTTTCATTATCGTTATCGTACATTCAGCAGTGTAGCATGAGGGTTTCACATAGCCGTCATCACCACTGCTATCATCATCGCTCATCACAAGATGGATTATCAGCCTCCTGAGGGAAAGAGTGATCTGAGTACAACAAACCCCCCTCCCCCCCCCCGCCCAACTAAACATTTTTGGTCAATTGATATTTTCACAAATGTTGAAAACTAGTTGTTAATTTTATTTTCCAGAATCCATCATCATAATAAGATGGTGGTGGGTGGGGGGGGGGGGTCGCTTGTAGTCTGCTTCGCAGTTATCTTAAATCTGACAAGATCTTACCCCAATGGTTGCAAAGTGATGGCTCCTGACCCGTTTAACGCAGCGGCCACCCGCTTTAGAGTTCCGCCCCACTCTCCTGCCGTCGCTAAAAAAAAAAAGCGCGCACAGCACAGCAACACCGCTGTGCCATCGCCGCTCGTGTTACTGAAGGTTGCGCTGCCAGGCTAGGTAGACGCGCACCCACAAATGTATGTGGAACCTTCCTTTAAGTGAGCACTGTTGCTTTTCTTGAAACAACATGTTTCATTAACTTGTAAAAGCTGCCAAGTCTTCCATTGCCACTGCTCGCTTCCTGATACTGCAATAGAATGAAGTTAAAATGAGCGGCATCAACCATTTACATGCCAAGTCTTTTTTCTCAGAAGCTAGCGAGTAATGAAGCTGTGCTCATGACCTCTGTTTTAGTATATGCAGTCCTTCAACCTTTACGTAAGCAGCAGGCCCGTGTGTGTCCTGTTTATCAGGACATCTGTCTGGAAGCTGCCCAAATCACGAGAAGCGCGCATCAAATTGGAAGCCACTGCTCTTTACCAATGTGGTATCCCCCAGCCTGTGTCCATGGGGGAATTAAATGGGGAATTAAATAGTCTTTTTCTCATTTTGGAGCATATTTATGTTTTGCAGGGTTAATATCTTTTTTTGCTTAAAGGCTTTGTCAGCCAGGTACCAGATTGAATATTGAATGCTTCCTGGTTCACAGTGTTTCACTGAAAATATATGGTCATCGTCATCACCGGTCATGATCTGTCCACTCCTGGATGAAGGCCTTCCAAACCATGTTAGCTAGGGGCGTTTGTTTGGCCATTCTTCACCATGCTGGTCAGTTAAGTCGTGGCCAAGGCTGGTTGAGATTCCACTTGCCACTGATTTTAGCCATGGCCAAGAATGGAACTCGGGTCACCGTGATTAAAGCGCATCGCTCAAAAAACGGCTACACACTGCTGCTCCATCCCATCCTTTATCGTACTATATCGGAAAAAAAAGTTTGGCTGGCTGGCACGCGGGTGACGTCACCTCGCACACCTGCGCGGTGACGTCACCCGCATGCCGCAGTTGTGAGCCGAGTTCATACCCCGTGCCGACCTCGCGCCCTCTCCCCAAGGCCCACCCTCCACGCAGAATGTTGTATCCCGCACAAATACGTGGCCAGTGCTTAGTTATTTATAAGCATCACTTATGACAAAAAAAAAACCGGCACCATCCAAACTGCGCTCAATGTCAGTTAAGTCGTGGCCAAGGCTGGTTGAGATTCCACTTGCCACTGATTTTAGCCATGGCCAAGAATGGAACTCGGGTCACCGTGATTATAGCGCATCGCTCAAAAAACGGCTACACACTGCTGCTCCATCGGTGGTGCGACAACCGCACCACCGATTTGCACGGTTGGCTTTGTGCGGTGCGAAAGAAGCTCACCTCTTGTACATGCGACATGCATACAACCGCGAGTTATCCGAGGCTGCCTCGTGTGTCTCCCTTCCACCTACCCCGGCAGCGGAGTACGGCACCCTGCAGAGTCCCACGACACCCGGGAAGGAGTCCGAGGAGAGGACGCGCCGCGCTTCCGGCGGAAAATCGAGGGGTCGCGGGAGAAGGAATAACCCCTCTCCACCTCCCGATGGGGACTTGGAGGTCAGTCTGCCTTTATCATCATAATCAGTCATGTTCAATCCACTGCTGGATGATGGCTTCCCCAAGCCATCGACATTGCTCAACAATCCCCCCCCCCCACCAGCACCCTGCACAATAGTTGAATCAATGCATCACCACATGCTCACTGCCAACCTATTCATTTACTTATCTCCATGCCTGGCTGCCTGCAATACCTACTGCCGTACACGATCATATACCTGCCTACCTAATCGTATGCTTACCTATTTACTTATCCGACCACCTGATTGCTTACCAGTCTTCAAATGTTTGTATTTTCTATGTACTTGTGTTTATGCCAATCTACAAATGCTTTTTGTATGTCGTATTTATCTACCTACCAGTGGTCACCTTCCTGCCTTGTTATATCCTCCTACCTTAGCTACCACAGCTAGATGTGTACAGTACCACCACAGTCATCTCTCCACCTGCCTCCACACCAACAAACATGCCCCTATAGGTGCATTCATGCATGCATGCATACTTACCTGCCTATACCTGCCTTATCTGTGTGTTCATCCATCCGTTCATCCATTCATCCGTCCACTCAACACTGCACCCATGTAGCTAAACATACGTATATGCCTCCATGCATACACATGGAAGGATAGAACTTAAAAGTCTGAAATTAGTTCCCCATAATTAGTCCATTTACATTAATCACTTCACTAAAGGTGTTGAGCCGCACTGCTTCAACACCCAACGTTTGAATGTAAACGTCGCCGTTGTGCCAAAATAAATGCGCTATCATCAAAGGTGATGGTATAAAGGGACCTTCAAAGGGAGGCGCAGGGATCCGAGATGGAAGGCGCAATCGACGAAAATAAAATCAATTAGCGGCACATTACAACAAAGCGAACACAAACCCCTGGGTTACAGATGCGTTGGTGGCAGTGTTTTTCGTCAGGCGCTGATTTACAAGCAGCGTGTGCCTCTCTCACTCTTCCCTACGTGGCGGCGGTGGGGGGGGTCACGCGGGCATGACCATCGCTGTGCATGGAATTCTGCCAAGTGGGGCTTCTGTCTTGTTTGTTGGTCTGAACTTGAATTGCAATTTTGTTTATGAAATATCTTGATTTGCTGAGATGGCCGGGTTTGGCTCAAAGGTCCAGTACGGCCGAGAGGGCACAACTGAAACCCTGGGTTCGAATCTGGGTTGCAGCCGCCCGTGATTAAACTGGGCTTTCAAGTTTCGCAAGTTGATTGTCTCAACCCCGGTCCACCAGTGGCTACACAATCAAACTCTCGTTAGACTAAATTTGGTTTCACATTAAATTTGATCAAATTGCAGTCGAATGTCAGAGTTTATTTAAGGTGCTTATCCGTACCATGTGAAGGACAAAAATGCCACTGGAAATTTATTTTGGGGTGAAGTGCTGTCAACAATCTCTTGTTAAGATGTTTCCTAACAGATAGAGCACACTGCTCTGTAATACTTATGAAGTAATTATTTGTTTCGTGGTCTGATACAGAAAGTTAAATATCAAATACATTGGAAAAATAACTGAAAAATCTGCTTTGCTAGTCACCCACACACGTTGGTCATCATCATAACTACGGGAGTTTACTGAGTTGCCACTATAATCGGAATGAAACTGAACACAATTATGATGCTTTTTTATTTCAATCACCATGATTGGTTTAGAAGCCACCACATAACTCGCAGTACATGGTACACGAGCATGGTTGAGCACGTTCCGTTCTAGCAGGTCTGTTTATTTCTTGTTCACTGACGAGTTGTAAAAAACAAAAGTTGACAAACAGCTGACCATTGACATATTTCCAGTGAAGATTTGTATCTTTCAAAATGTTATTTTGCGCTTGTTTTTCAGAGGGTTTTCATATGGGACTTGGATGAAACGATTATCATCTTCCACTCACTCTTGACGGGCTCGTACGCCACAAGATACGGCAAGGTACGTGCCTTGCATTTCACGGTGTTGCACGGCGATTTTGGATAAATACACGACGTGCAGCGGTGACGTATGTACGTTGAACTTCTTTCGCACCGTACCTAGCCAACCACGCTAATTGGAGGTGTGGGGGAAGGACAGCAAACTAAACGCAAAAAGCATTTTTAAAGAAGTTAGTTTCCAATATAAACTTAAAAGTGCAAAGCTTCAGTGGCTTTCTAATGTCAGAAGGAAGAGAGCGTTCCAGACGGCCGCAGAAGCGCATCTGAAAGCTCACGATGCAGTGATGGTCTTTGTTCGATGGTTAGCCACAAGACGCTGTGAATGTCGTTCGCTTACACATCTATATACTGCACACGCAGGATGAACCACTGATTCACCAAGTCTGTTCAAGGTTATTTTAACTTTGCACATGATGGCACAGCCAACATCGATTCATAGGGTTCACTTTTTGTCTTCCTCAAATGATCTACCTGAGATTTGGTGGTGGAAAGTGGGTTTAGTCTGGGCACGTGCTCTCGGTGCACTCTAGATCATGCACACATACATGTGGACAACGTGTGCATGTGGGCACGTGTAACATGTGGACAACGTATATATATGTGACACGTGTGCATGTGGACACGTGCAGCCGACTTTGTCTCAATGCACTGCTAGAACAGGACCCCTCCTGCCTGTGGCATACAGGCTCTGAGGCTTTTTTTAACCATACCATACAGCTCAGGTGCGCTTCGATGTTGGTGGGAGGAGTATATGACGCCAATGGAAATTCGCTGCTCTGCACATTTACTGCACGCACCACCTCCTACACTTTGAATGCATGGTGGTGCTCACCCATACAAGTGGACTATCCAGGTTCAACACTGCTTAGTATTCGGAGGTCCAACGGGATGGGGCACATTTCTGGTAAATTGTCATTGGTTCACCTCTTTATCAGGGTCTCTTTTTAAACTCCAGTCTTCGCAACCCCACCATGGTCCATCGTTTTGTGCTTGCCCATTCTCCGTTGGGGCACACATTAAATATTGACATGCTTGCACGCACGTCGTTATTAATCAACAATAGACCCACTGTGGACGTACACGACTCCGCTCCAATATCACATCGACGTCTTTGTGTGGACGTGTGTTGGTTAGCATACGACACTGAACCCGGCAACACGAGTTTGATTCCTGCTCCCGACCAATAAAAAGCAGCAAAGATTTGAACAAGTCCTGGGCCCCCCTCCCCCTTGGCCGACTTAAGCCTAAATAAGTACCTGGTGCACCCGAGCATGGGGATGTTTGTCTCTTCTATTGTGTCCCACGTGACTTAGAGAGCACTGGTTCAAATTAATCAACGTACGTCTACATTGCATAGAATGTCTATCGCAAATCGTCAGACACGTACGCTTGTAAACGTGTAATTTATATGTGAACGGAGGTAAAACGATATAAAACTAAACTAGTTCAACATAATACAAACATATTCATATTCTTAGTTTTTTCGGTAAAGTCACGTTGAAGAGAAACAACAAAATAACAAAATATATATAAAACAATAAAAAAATTCTCACGACGTTTTACTAGGCAAGGCCCACTGAACTATATACCTCTTTTTCAGAAGCGACTTGGCCACAAATGATAGCTCAACGAAGTGGCTTATCACTTGGAAATTTATAGCAGTCAAATACCACAAAAGCATGTTTCTAAATGTGGAGGGAAAAACCGGAAAACCCAGAGAAAAATCCACGTGACCACGGGGAGAACATGCAAACTCCATATATACAGGCGTCAGGGGCGGGATCGAACCCACGACCTCCTGCATATACGGCGAAGGAGTTAATATCTCGCCACTGTGGTGGGTCTACTGGAGTTTGAGAAATCTTGCTGTGGATGTCTGGGTGTGGGGGGAGGACAACACACCCTTACCTTGCTTCGTATGAAAGTGGATGCTGTTTCCCAGTTGCTAAGAGAAACATTCCAATTGCCCCGTCATCGGAGACTGACTCTGGCAAGTAAGCGGCTGTTTGACAGCTGACCAGCTGCTGGCAACACCAGCTATGTTGTACAGCATTCCTTCGTGGCACAGGATTCAAAAACACGCCGTCCATAAAATATTATTGCCAGGCCGAACATTTGCAAAATTGCTTGGAAGGTGAATATTGTAGGCTAAATATTTTAAAATTACATATTTCTGGGGCGTGCTGTTTTGGCCTTGTTTGAGGGTACATCGGCACTCGGTACGAGTGGAGCAAATTGAAATTATGATGGATTTACGACTGCAGTTCTTTTTGTGCTGGTGTTCAAATGGTAATTTCACACAGGGGTGCGATAGCAAAGCTACAGTTTTATTCTTTATTATTTTAATACAGTACTTGTATATTTCTGAATTTCTATATGGTTCACACAAAGTGACTGAATTACTATATAAATGCCTGTATATAGGTAGCCATTGATTTAATGTGGCTGGAAATTATTGCTAGTGTTAGTTAAAATATCCATGACTTCATTTCCATTGTTTGGGCTGTTTCTTATTGTGAACAAATCCATCTCAAATAAATCCTTACCCGTTTTGGTAATAAAATATGTGTTAAGATATTTAAACACCAAATATATACCTATTGCAAGGCAAAAAATCTGAATTAACCACAGGGAATGTTTCTTTGCACGTTTTGCCACAAAAATATGTGTGGTTAATGCAGCTTTGATGCCTTGTAATAGGTATCGAGTTGGTGTTTGAACATCTTAACACCTGTCTTATTGTCAGAAAGGGTCAAGCGTATTCTTATTTTTTCATAATTTTGATACTGGCAAAAAGGCCTCAGATGTTTTACTGGACAGTTTGTCTTTAATTTGCTTAGTCCTTGAAGAATCACTTAAACATTTAAACTTATATTTCAATAACGAGTACTACTTATACAGCATGTAAGCATTTCCACATGCAGTAAATTGAATTAACAACATTGACATTTGCATAATTATTCTGATAGTATGGAAATTCCAAACTGTCAAATTCCAAGGCGATAAGTTAAAATGTCGGCTTGGGTTTCGTCACAAGCGTCGCCCGGCCGAGCAAAGCGCGCGAGATCTCCTTTTACATATTTGCCTTGGCCCACTCCTCCAATTTTAAACAGAAAGAAAATCATAAAGGGTCAACGCTGCTCTGTTGTTAGATGGGAGCCATGGTATTATTATGTTTTAATAGGACATTTTGGAATTCGAAATTAAAATGAAACTCAGGATTTAGGAGCAGATAACTGTGATGGGTTTGTGCCCGTTGGATCAGCAAATAAGCTGTGGGTAATGGGTGGTGGTGGGGCCGTGGAGGGAGAGCCTCGGTTGAGATTAACACAGGGAGCACAGGCAGCTGCTGTAATCATTCCGTTAGAAAGGGCCTTGTCTAATGAAGAGGCCTGGCATCAGAGATGGGGTTGGGGGGGGCGGCGTTATCAATCATCCGGCTCTGATTTGTCCAGATCCAGTCCAGCTGTTTATGTCAGCAGTTCTTGTTCCTTCAATAAATTTTTAATTAGCAGAGCGGCAGAAATGTATTCCGGGAGATTGCATAAGTTTATCCAGCCCTCCCTCCCGTCTCTGCCAGTCTGGACTGCACCTCCTGTCCCTATCTCCCTCCCTCCCTCTCTGCCCTCCACCCCTCTCTGCCCTCCCCCCACTTGCTACCCCTACCCAGGCCTCATGCCTGGCTCCCTGCACCCCCCATACACCCTGCCCCACCTCCCTCCCTCGCCATGCCCACTCCCTCCCCATTCCCCTGCCGCCAGCCACCTCCTGACAAGCCAAAGCAGAAGCCAGTTGAGCAGCTATGCTCTCGCGCAGTCTCTCTCTCTGGGTTGTCTAGTTTTTACCACTTTGAGTGGCGTTTTTGTTGCAGCGCGGTCAGTATGGTCCTAATTATCGATTCGGCGTATCGTCTGTTATTCCGAGATCAAGCCGACAGGAGCCTGTAGCTCGCCCAGACTTTGGAGGATTGTTGAGGCTCTGCGTGTCGGCTAGCAGACGCACGCTCACTCCGCGATGAAGCCCACCAGATGCTCTCGAGTGCGGCTTTTCACGCGTTTTGTGACAGTGATCGTGGTTTATTGTTATTGCATGTCCTCTGACGTTATCTCCGACCCCAAGTATTGCTTTGGTTATGGAACAAAAGACGCCCATTGTTGGAAGCTGAATTGAGGCATTTGGAATTTATTGGTGGGTTGGAAATATCCCAAAAATGTCAAACCAGGGCATCAGTATCGGGTTTGACAGTCGACTGCTCTGGTTAATCAAGTCGGCATGTTGTCACTTGCACACACAAACAGTAACATTCTGTGCCTTTATGGGCTTTGTACACATGTTTATGTGTGTGTGTGTGCACTGTGTGTGCACAGTGTTGTTTCAGTTTGAGCTTACAAAACGTAATGTTTTGGGTATTTTTAAAGTTAGTTCCCTTTTAATGCTTTTTTTAACTCAGAACTACACACTTTAAGTGGAATGTGTATTTCTTATTTTTTTTATCTTTTGTGTCATCGAATGAGAAATCTCGTATTTACATTCGGTTTTCTTAAATTCATGGGTTTTTTTATTTTCCTGGGGCGTCATTTTTACACCAGAGCCCTCCCCCCCCCCCCCAGCTCCCCGGCCCACCTGCAACACCAACTCGCGATCGTCAATCCTTCGGTCGTTGCCTACAACGTTCACCTCGTTGCCTATTTGCTGGCATCTGCACAACTCTGAACACTATAAATAGGGGTGCCCTGGTGCGATGGTATGGAATTTTATTTTTCCGCCACGGTAAATTGGCGACTGAGGCAATAAAGCTGACGGGTCGGCGTCAGCTGCTGCGGCCTGGGGAACGGACGCCCGATGACGGCGCGCGGACCGGGGAGGGTGCTGACGGGCGTGCACAGGTGCATGCCTCGACCCGGCTTGGGCGGCTTAGTGTGGCCGCCCCGGCCCTAAGCCTCGCGCCGTGTGTGCGCTCGTGTGGACAGGCTATAACGCGCTCGTGCTTGCGTGGATGTA